ACGATCTGCCTTGAAGCGTAATATCTTACTATGCTGTGTTGCCAGTGCTTTTTGCGTTCTCTAACGTTTGGTATCTTGTCTTTTCAAATGTCCCTTTGTATTGCAGCACAATAGTTGAAGTGTTTTCTTTATTTTCGGCGAAAATGTAATGATGATCATTGTGATGTGCCTGAACGGCAGCGAATTATTTCTAATGTATATATGTGCCACTGTTATCGAGAAAACAACTTTCGGCACAACTCCATGGACGTTTCTGACACTTATAAGGCATACTCCATAGCGCATTTCTGACGGTCATTAAACACACTCAGTGCCTGATTGCTCCCATGTAGAGCTCGTATACCGCTTGCCGGGAAATCTACAAATTAGTTTAGTTGAATGTTTGTTGTAACAGCTTCCAAATCAGATAATCCTCCACATGTCCGAAAATGCACTAGCCGACCGTTTCATCCTGTCGTGACTCGTCAGCAGTGTGCATCCATCGGCTCCATCAGGATCCGAACTTGAGTCCCGATAGGACGAAATGGCCATCTGGTGCTTTTCGGCCATACTCATCAGACTCAAACTTTACATGATGGCGATTATGTGATTTATCCGGCACACTTCTGCAAGTCAGTCGGCCGGTGGCCAAGTGGTCTGCACGTTTGCTTTGCAACCATAAGGTCACCGGTTCGAATCCGCGTAGGGTTGGGCGTCTTCGCGGTATACTCAGCCTGCGCGCGACTGGTGGTGGTCGCGCGGCAGCGAAGCGCCGTTACGTCGTACATCTGACACATTATTATTATTACTTCTGCAAGTCAACAGTTAGGCAAACCACGTGAACCTGGTACTATACTTCGCCGTGCAAGGTCAACATCTGACCTGAGTCGGTATAACCTCGTGATCTTCCACGCGCCGGAGTTCAGTGATACATCAATCCAAGTGCGCTGCGATCATGATGTTGAGTTTTTACAGTGTCTAATTGGCAGACTCCTCGACGCTGGTGAGGACTCGGTAAATGTGAGGCAAATTACCCGTCTTGGAAAGCAAGGTGATCAACAAAATCGGCCTATGAGAATCACTTTTGTGGACGTAGCCAGTCCAAGACCGATCATGTCCCGCCTAAGTAGGTTGAAAGGTTTGAAGATCCATGTTCGTCCAGATCTGGACCCAGTAGACGGAGAGCGGCTCAAGTCTGCCATCATTGAGCTGAGAAGACGTACTGGTGAGGGGGAAACAATCTTCGTATCGTAAATTTTCGGATGGTTTCCTAGAATCTACGAATCAGGATAAACAAGTTGCTCACACTTCAAGCACGCCCGGTGGCTCCTGCTACGGCCTGCAACTAGCCATCGCAAACGTTTGCAGTGTTATGAACAAGCGCGATGAGCTTTGTTGTTTCGTTGCGCCTGAGCGGCCAGACGTAGTTGGACTCGCAGTGACATGGCTGCATTTAGAGGTATACAGCCAGAAACTTGCAGTCAACGGTTACTCGTGCTTCCGATGCGATGAACTGACGAAGGTCCGCGGTGGTATCTTGCTTTACATCCGGTCTTCCCTGTGTGGGAGACTTGTGAGTACATACCAAAGTGACGATGGTTTGCATGATCTACTATGGTGCTCCATCCGCCTCAAACGCGGAGAATTACTTGTGGGCGCAGTCTGTCGCAGCCCCCTGAGTCGTTGTTTGGATTGGCTGCCCCATCTTCGAACCCACATGAGTCGTCCACACTTTCTACTTATGGGCGATTTTAACGGTTCTCTAATACGATGGAATGTTGTACATTTGCTACCCGGACATAGGGAGGTCGAAGCAATGTTGATGGATTTGGTACTTGAAACTGATGCATCGCAACACATATCCAAGCCAACGCGCATAACACCACGCTCAGCCCCGTTCTGCCTTGCTCTGATGTTAACAAGCTACGAACAACGAGTGCGTGACGTTCGGATCCTGGAACCCCTGGTTACAAGCGACCACTCAGTGCTCATAGCTGATATGGAATTACCTTTGCCGTATTCATGTCCGCTGGAACCAACTTACGATACTGGAAAACGGACTTCGATGGTCTAGCTCGAGTCGCGAGCTGACTGGATTTGTCCCTGTCACAGGCTGCATCTGTGGAAGACTGTTGGATATTTATAAAACATAGATTGACATCATTGTGTTCCCAATTTGTGTCATTGAACTGTCGGCAGATTGGACCGATTAAGCCTCATTGGTTTGACAAGGAGTATGAAAATCTGGCTCGGAAGCGGCGCAGACTGTGGGACAGATTCCTCCTCTCTGGCTCTGCCAAAGACTATGAAGAGTATAAAAGTCAGCGGAACCTCTGCAACTGTGCAAAAAGAAATAAGCGCCGATATTTAGAAGAGCAGCTCGCAATTACCGCGAAGACTGCCCCAAACAGAATATTTGCTCACGTGAAACGACGCATGAAGCCAGAAAGTGATGTGCCAGTGCTGGATGGCCGGGATGGACAGCTCCTAACCTCCAGCACTAAGCGTGCGTCCATGCTGGCGGCGCACTTCGCTTCTGTATTTGTAAATGACCAGGTGTCTGTTCCGAGTTCGACGTGTACCGCTTTTACTGAACTCGACAGTCTGGATTGCGACGTTGAAGAAGTATGTCAACTACTCGCCAGCCTTGACGGTACCAATCCTGCCGGACCTGATGGGTTTCACCCACTGATTCTCAAGTCACTTTCGGCCATCATCTGTCGTGACTGACCTTTTCAATAGATCGCTGTCCGAAGGCTCGTTGCCGATTGACTAGAAATGTTTGGTGGTGAAGCCTATTCCGGAAGGCGGCGACCCTAGCAAAGTAGACAACTGCAGGCCAATTTGTCTGACACCTATATTGACAAACGTTGCTGAGAAAATCATAAAAATGGAATTTTTCAGTTGCTACAGTCAAAAGCGATCCTGACGCCCTCATAGCACGGTTTTATGCAAGGCCGCTCATGCATTACAAAACTTGCTTATGACTAGGCATGAGTGGTTGAAGGCAGTAAGCAAGGGGAAGTCTGTCGACGTGATATTCTTCGATTTCAGTAAAGCGTTCGACAAGGTCGGCTATTAGGTTCTCTCTCACACACTCAGGTTATGCGGTGTCGTTGGCTCACTGCATCGGTGGATCCGCGACTTTCTTGTTGGACGAAAGTGCAGGGTGCAGATCGACGACCATCTAACTGACTGATATCTCTCTACAACTGGCGTGCCTCAAGGCACGGTGCTGGGTCCCACTCTGTTCCTGATCCACATCCACGATCTACATCAGCTTCTCCAGTCGCCTTGTGCCTTGTTTGCGGACGACATGAAGATTTGCAGAGAAACTGACGCTCCCGACGACTGTAGCGTACTTCAGCAAGACCTCAACCGCCTATCCACATGGTCTTCAACAGTTCATCTCCCGGTCAACCCAGCCAAGTCTGTATTTGTGAGCCTGGGGAAGGGTACTGACGGCCAACCGCTATATTCCACACCCCTCCGTGAAAGACCTAGCTGTACTCTCGCGGTACGATTTAAAGTCCGTGGACAACACGAAGAAGCTATATCGTAACGGACTGCCATGCTTTGGGTGCTCAAACGTAGCCTCGGCACATGGTCCGAAGAGGTTGCCACTCGTCTGTTCTCTTCCATCATTAGACCAATACTAGAGTACGATTCGCCTACCTAATTTCCGATTACCCAAGGCGAGGCACAAAAGATCGAACAGGTCCAACTTGTTGTTACCAGGCTCATCCCGAGTTTACGTGGCTTGGTGCGAGAAACTAGGACTCTACACCTTGTCCTACCGTCGGATGCGAGTCGACCTCATTATGACCTGCCGTACTCTACATCTCGATGACTTCTCCATACTGGGGCCAGTGCTGCATTTACGATGGTCATGCAGCACACGCGGACACAGATACAAACTTGTCGTGCCGGATGTGAAGCGAGTTCCCCATCTACTGTGCTTCGAACGGAGAGTAGTAAATATTTGGAACAATTTGCCTGAACCTGTGCTAGAGGTGACATTTGTGAAGCAGTTCAAAGCGTTGAATTTTTTTTTATTTTACCATTGTACGATTTAGAGAACGATTACACACTTACGATGACATGTCACATTTGTGAGTCCTGCAATACCGTGAGTCAGATATTTTAAATGTTACATGAGAACAACAACGATATTCACAGCTGACAATTTTTATAACGTTTTTCACCATATTTCGAAAGAGTTGTAAGAATTCATTTCTACTTGTTCTATAATACAATATTCAATTCATCGCCACTACGTAATGTTTGAGTCTGCTGAGAATTACCGAAAAGAATTCTTTACTCAGAATCTGCTCCACTTTGATACAGTCTGGTACTTTTCCGAGTATTGGAAATGTTTGATTTGAAGACTGCTGCGATGAAATCTCAGTTGATTTCATCCAAAATCTCATGAGTACAACACGTTTTTTTATTTATAGCCCTGATCTGGCTACGTGCGCCAAGCGGAAAGGCCCTTTGTTCCCCTGATTTCATTGTGATCATTTCGCCACGTGAATTTACACGTACACTTGTGTTATCATTCGGTGGTCTGCTGATCTGCACCTTTAGTGTTTTTTCGAATCCTTATCTGTTAAATTCAATTTGTGGACTACCGCAGTAGTTTGGAGACGAAGTGTTCATCTTTATTCATTGGCATCGTTGTTATCCTTACAGTGCGGACCACGACTTAGGATCGCACAACAGAATGCCGTTCGCAAGTAGTAATTCATTTGGTAGATTGCGAGTCCACGAATCGTTTGCACTGAATTTCTTCATTTCTCTTTCCTTCTGGTATCAGTAGGACTGGCACTTTTTTGTTTGGTCACTGGATAACGGTGAGCCATCGCTTTAAGGTGCACGTGGGTTGCTGACACTATCAGTGAAGGTAGTCATGGTCTGTACACTGAAGTGCAATACCCTCTGCAGTCCGTCAGTCAGTAAACCCGTTTCGCCATTTACTGCACAAAGGCTTACATTTTGTGCTCGTTTCCTTTTTATTGCAGATCCAAAATGAAGCAAGCAGCGATACGCAAATTCAGTTCGACGCGATCCTCCACTTTGACACCGATAGAGCCTAACGGAATGAAACGATCAGTCCCTGGTCCGACCTCCCCTTGGCACTTTATCAGTTTACTTCTTTACTCGGTACTCCGAAGACCTATGTCGATTGACACAGGTGTCAAGGCTGGTATCTATTTGTGCATTTCTGCGGGTGGTTCTTTGATTTTCGATTTTGTTCGGGTTCCACCCACTTACTTTTCCAACAAGTACAATGTCCTAAATCAATTGTTCATCAAGTGGGGTTGGGGCTGGACATGTGTGAGCTTGGCTACGTTCCTCGTCTTCTCCACCTTTGTATACACTGGTGGCAACATTCGTCTAATGCGAGCACACATGTTACGCATCGTCGTTGGAACCGGTTGCTGGTACACCATCACTGGCCTAATTAACTTTGTGCACGATACTACCGGACACTGTCATCACCCATCCGCGGATATTCTCAATTCCGGCGTCAGGCCCAATCGTCGCACTCCGTGCCACCGCGCTGGAGGATCATGGCTCGGATTCGACATATCGGGTCATTGTTTTCTGCTTGTTCTGTGCAATTTGTGGATAATAGAGGAGGTTCGTTCGATGCAATATTGGAACCGATTGGCCGATATTCTCAAACCGTACGATCAATACACAGATGGGAGCAGCACATCTAGTTCCGACGCCTTGCTGTTGTCTAGGCGTGTTCCCCCGGATGAAGCCAAAGTGATGCGTTCGTCGTTTCGCCGCCTCACCGGTTCCGTGCGCCTTATCTTCTCCTTAGTAGCTTGTTTATCCATGCTCTGGGATTTCAGTTTTTTAGTCACGATTGTATATTTTCACACGATGCCGACCAAGCTGATTGGGACCGTACTGGCTGTCGCTTGTTGGTTTGTGTTTTATCGTGTCATCTTCCGTGCTGCCAAGACTGGCGATTGGTTTGGTCTAGCACCAGGGATGCCCGGGGACAGTCCACTAGACTTTACGCCGAGACGTTAGCTTTTATGCTTAGCTCACCTCTATCTAATCAAAAAATTTCCCCGGCATGATTTTTCGACAATCCACGGCATCGTGACTTTGTTTTTACAGTACCCATCTTCTGTACTCCGTGTTTTCTTAATTGTTCTTTGACCACGGCTTCGTCTTCAGTACCTGCGCTTTTTTAAAAGTATTTCTGTATTGCATTGCTGACGGATTAGTTGTGCCACAATCCGCGCCTCACTCTTGTTCCACAATGCGCAACAGTTCGTAAATCAGTTTGTAATCGGGCTGTTCTCTGAGTTCAGCAGTATTGTTGCAAATCTTTCGTCACCGGTCTAGGCGGCCCCAGTGCGTTGCCGAGTAACAGGACGTCAGTGAGTGTGCTTCGACTAATCGTGTGTTTGTACGAGTTTTTATGCATTATCATGATCGATTGTTCGAGCGGGTGAGTCCACGCTTGCATTCGGATGGGTCGACGTACAGATGACCACTTAATTCGTTCTCTGTACTTTGGCCTCAGCCACTTTACTTCGACAGTTGATCCTGCCACCCGATCTGTTTGCATGATATTCTGTTCCGTCAGTATTACTCGCTGATGCTGCGCTCATGTTGCCGCTTGTATTGAATGCAGTTCAACGTGCCAGTTGGCTGTGGAGTACCGTATTTCCAGAAATTCTCTCATTTGCCTCTTATTTTCACAGACTAATGCTTTTACGATTTCCAAACTGAAGTGGCGACCCTGATCCTATCCATCTAGCGGTTAGTTTGTGAACGATATAGATTTTAATGGTTGCGGGAAACTCGATGTCAGTTCAGATACTTTGTTTATGCGTAGGAGCCCTACCCACTTATTTATCTGGCTATTGTTTTTTGATGTACGCTTTTTCCAACTTTGATGGGTTTTTTGGGTACTCGGTATTTTGTGCCATTCGGTATAGATAGATTTCTTTTCTCTCCCTCCATCTCACCGTTTAGCGACCTCCGTGCATTGTCAAGCCTTGGCTTTTTTATCCGGATTATACCATTCTTCTGTTGAATTATTTCGTGTAAATTACGATATTATCCACTTTCATTTATGATTCTGGATTTTTCGACCATACATCCTTGTGTTACTTCTGTTCAATTTCGAAGATCTTACTATCACTTTGGTTTCGGATTATTCATAATGCCGAAAATGTCACCTTGCGATGCCTGTTCCAAGGTGAACGGAAGTCGAGCAAGTGCAGTCACGTTTGTTGTGTCACGTCAAATTCTACATTTCACACACTGGAATATCGATTGAACATTTTTGACTTTTTTCTAAATTCCAACATGATTTCGTTCAAATTCTGTGTATGAATTACCGAAATGAGGTACAGCCGGAGAAAGTAGAGCAGAATCGCAATCCGCCTTGTAGGATGAATTATTCCGTTGCGAGCAACTTCGTGGATATGGCCAAAATCGCTATCCCAAAGCGCCTCCAGATTTCAGATAAGTTTTCCTGTTTTTCTGTGCAAACTCATCGGCACCAAGTTCAGTCTTTGTGGGCAACCGAGTTTTACTGACTTGAATCTTTTACCTGGGTTGTGTTCTACGGGCACAGTGTCCTGGTTTGTGAAACCCTGTGTACTGAAGATATGTGGAAATTACAAGGAAAGAAAAAGCAGAAAACTGCAAAGTGTTAAGCCGCTGCAAATCGACGGTAGGCCAGACCATGTGAAGCTCTGGAAAAATCATCGCCCTGCAAGGTCAACCTTGGCCGATTAGAAGCGTTTTAACCGCGTGATCTTTCGCTCTCCTGAGTCCAGTGATCCAACTCCCCAGATGTGTTACAATCATGACGTCAACTTTTTACAGAGCCTAATTGCTGGACTCCTCGACGTGGATGAAAATTACCCGTTTTAGAAATAAAGATGCTCAACGAAGTCCATCAATGAGCATTATCTAAGTTAGCAAAGTCAGTCCTGTTTAGGTAAGTTGAAAGGTTTAAAGATCCACGTTCGTCCAGATCTGGATCCCATGGGTCGAGAACGGCTCAACTCTGCCATCGTTAAGCTGAAAAGACGAAATGATCTTTGGGAAATAGACAATCGTTTCATAAATTTTCGGGCCGTTCCCAGGACTCCACGAAGCATGATAAACAGGTCGGTTATACCTCAGGCACACTCGGTGGTTGCTGCTGCATGCATGTAGCCCTTACCAACACTTGCAGTCTTCTGAACCTGCACGATGAAATCTATCGTCTCGTTGCATCTGAGCGACCAGACGTAGTGTGACTCGCAGAGACATTGTTGGATTCTAAGGTGATCACCTAGGGCATCTAGTTGTGGCTACTCATGCTTCCGCTGTGATAAACTATTGGCTATCCGAGGTGACATCTTGCTCCATATCCGGTCCACCATGTGTGGAAGAGTTGTGAGTGTTTACGTAAGCGATGATGGCCTGTGTGAGCAACTGTGTTACTCTATCTACCCTAGGCACTGTGGCTACTCGTGGATGCATTTTATTTCAGTTCCCTCAGCCGTTGTTTTGATTGGCTGTCGCATCTCCGAGGCCACATGATTATCCCCATTTTCTACCCATAGGTGCTTTCAGTTGTCCTCGAGTACGCTGGCGTTCAATACAACTTATGCTTCTACATTGCGAAGTCAAAGCAATGTTCCTTGAATTAGTACTTGAAAGTGGAGCAGCACAACGTATGTGGAAGCCGACACGAATAACGCTGCGCTCAACTCCGCCGTGCCTAGCCTTGATGTGAACAACATCTGTATGACGTTCAGGTCCTGGAGCCGCAGAAAGCAAGCGATCACCCAGTGCTCATCGCTAGCATGGGTCTATCTTTACCGTATTTCCGTCCGCTGGAGCCAGCTCACAATTATTGGTCTAATTCGAGTCGTGATCCAAATGGATTAACCTCTGCCACAAGCTAATTCTGTGGAAAACTGTTGGTGTTATAAAAGAGGGAATGACATTACCATGTTCTCGGTTTGTACCGTTGAACTGTCGGGAAGTTGGACCAGTCAAATCGCATTGATTCAACAAGGAGTATGGTAAAATAGCTCGGCGGCAGCCAAGACTGTGGGGTAAGTTCCTCTTCTCTGTCTCTTCCAATGATTATGAAGCGTATAAAAGGCAGCGGAATGTTTGCATCAGTTCAAAAACAACAAGCGCCAGTATCTGGAAGAGCAACTCACAACCACCACAAAGGCCGCCCTGAAGAGAATCTCTGCTTAAGTGAAGCGGCGCCTGAAGCCGGCAGGTGATCTGCCTGTGTGTCCGCGTTGGCGGCGCATTTCATTTCCGTGTTCGAAAGTGATCATGTGTCTGTACTGAGTGCAACCTGTACCGAACTTACCGAACTCGACAGTCTAGTTTGCAGTGTTGGTGATGCTTCGACGGCGCTAAATCTCCTGCCCCTGACAGACTCCGCCCACTGATTATCAAGTCCCTATCGGCCGTAACCTCACCTGCTGTGGCTGACTTGTTCAACAAGTCACTGTCCGAAAGCTCATTGCCGAGCGGCTGGAAATGCTTGGTGATAAAGCCGATTCCGAAAGGCGGTGACCCCAGCAAAGTGGACACCTATTTTGACCAAAGTTGCCGTGAAGATCTTGAAGTAGGGTCTACTACATCTGCTTCAATCAGATGGTCTACTGACGCCCACAAAGCACAATCGTCTTCTTGGACGCTCGTGCATTACCAACCTGCTCGTGATGAGGCATGAGCGGTTGTAAGCAGTGAACCAGGGTAAGTCTGTCGATTTCAGCAAAATGTTCGACAAGATAAAACCATGACATCCTCCTCTTCAAGCTAAGTGTATGTGGTGTTGACGCATCATTGCGCCAGTGAATCAGGGATTTTCACGTTGAACGAAGTAGAGGATACAGGTTAGTGCTCATCTAACTAACTGGTATCCCTCTACTAGTGGCATACTCCAAGGCACGGTTCAGGGGCATACACTGTTCCTGATTTATATCAACCACCTACCTCAGCTTCTTCGGGTGCTGTATGCCCTGTTTGAGGGCTGTTAGGGGACACAAACCCTAACGAAATCGATCGGATAGAACGTTCAGCATTCCGGCTCGAAGGTGATTCCCTTGCCTCATGCTCGTGACCTTGCTTCAACCAATGACAGTTCTACACCTTTACCATTTCAAGGTCATTGTGTAGGAGGACTTTATAAACCAATGGAATTGTCTCCTATGTACCTCGTTCTATCTTCTTGCAAGTGTGTGTTCCTTGTTGACGTCTTTCGATTACTATTCTGGGTCGATGGTTTGCGCTTTGAGATCGGCACGTTCGCGATACATAGAAGGCTACGAAAATTTTTCTGGCGGTCTAATACAATTGTGAATAACTCCCAGACGCCATTTTCAATGGAAGAGCTCACCTTGATCCTGCAGCAGCAACAGAGGCTATTTAGGGAATTTCAGGCGCGGCTGATCCAAACGCTATCGCAACGATTTAATGTTCTATCGTCCTCAACTGGCATAAAGCAATCATCCGTTGACGCAATTGCAGGAAGCATCACAGAATTCAGCTATGATGTAAGTGCCGGATGCACTTACCAATCTTGGTTCAGGTGGTACGAAGACACATTCCGGACAGAGCTGGCTGATACGGATGATGACTGGGAATCGCGGTTTCTTCTGCGGAAGCTCGGGACAAAGGAGCACGGGAGCTTTGTGAATTTTGTTCTTCCTAAGAGTGCGAAAGATTTTCTATTCGACGAAATCGTTAAACTATTAAAAGAGATCTTTGGAGAAGCGTCTCTATTTTTAACTGCGGTATTCCTGTTTGAAACTTGTCTAAATTGACTGTGATGATTTTGTGTCTTATACGACTACGGTTAGCCGCCAATGTGAGCGTTCCAAGTTTAAGAAAATGACCGAAGACCAGTTCAAGTGTCTGGTATTTGTTTATGGTCTTCAATCGCCCCTTAACTCAGAGAGTCGTACCCGCTTACTCAGTAAGATAGAGCAGAACCCTACCATGAATCTGAGATCAGTCATTTCAAAGTGTCGTCGTTTGTTGAACCT